AGTGTGGCAAACTAGGCGGGGCATTGTTTTATTTTTTTTCAATTATTTTTTTATTATTAATAATATCAGATAAAAAACTGCAAAAGAAAATAATATGAAAGATTGGGGAGGAAAAGGGGAAGGGAAAAGTATAGGAAGAAGGGGAAAAAAGAAAGAAAAGGTGTTAACTTCCGGATCCCATTGGTGGAGTAGAATAAAATAATAACATCAAACCTCAACTTTTTACTTTTACATACTGTAAAAGTTTAACCTAGCCATTTCTATAAAAACAAACCTACACTTTGATTCCCACAATGGATGAATGGCTGCAGAAGTCAATGGGAGTTAGCAGAGTTGGCTAAACCGACTGCTTTGATTAAAGACAAAACACACAACTGCTTTTGTTGCTACTTGGAAACCACTTCTGGACTTTGTGCTCAAGGTGGGAGAGAAAAAAACTTTGATTTTGAGTTTTAGGCGCGACATCCTTGTACTGCTTCAGACTCCCTCCGGTGCCAGGGGCAAGGACACCCCCCTCCCCAACCACCCCGATTTCTCTGCTTTATTTCAGCTTGTAGTTTGGGATCCTTTTATTCATCCTTTGCCATGATCGGCCCAAAGGATCAGGAAGGGTCCTGACTTAACAACGGTTCATTTAATGACCATTCAGAGTTACAACAGCACTGAAAAAAAGTCACTTATGGCCATTTTTTCACACTTACGACCTTTGCAGCATCCCCTGTGGTCATGTGATCAAAATTCAGATGCTCGGCAACTACTTCATATTTATGACGGTCGCAGCGTCCGGGGGGGTCACGTGATCCCCTTTTGCAACTTTCTGATGAGCAAAGTCAAAGGGGGAAGCCGGATTTGCTTAATGACTGTCTCGTTTAGCAAGAGAAAATTTGGGCTCAATTGTGATCGTAAGTCGAGGACTACCCGTAGAAGACTAGGGTTGGCTTATGACGTGAACATTCCTGAGTCTGGAACCCTCCCTCCTGAGCGAACATTTGTTGTTAGTTGCGAAGTCGTGTCTGACCCATCGCGACCCCATGGACAACGTTCCTCCAGGCCTTCCTGTCCTCTACCATCTTCTGGAGTCCATTTAAGCTCCTACCTACTGCTTCAGTGACTCCATCCATCCACCTCATTCTCCATCGTCCCCTTCTTCTCTTGCCCTCCACCTTTCCCAGCATCAGGCTCTTCTCCAGTGAGTCCTTCCTTCTCATTAGGTGGCCAAAGTACTTGAGTTTCAACTTCAGGATCTGGCCTGAAGAGCAGTCGGGGTTGATCTCCTCCAGGACTGACCGGTTGGATCGCCTTGCAGTCCAGGGGACTCGCAGGACTCTTCTCCAGCACCAGAGTTCAAAGGCCTCCATTCTTTGGTGCTCAGCCTTTCTTATGGTCCAACTTTCACAGCCATACATTGCAACTGGGAAAACCATGATTAGAAGATTAACATCTACTATTTAGTAGATTTATTCTCCTCTGCTCCTGATTTTGTATTCCAGAAACTAAGCTGCTTGGATTAACCTCCAGGGCAATGGGTTTTCTGCAGAACCAAAGGCACAAACACTTAAATTTCCCCGTGGAAAATCTTCTGAGTGTGACCAGAGGCAAGCTCGCCTGACCCATAACCAGCCAAGAATCAGTGAAGGCTTTCTGTTTTGTTTATTGGAATAAGCAGGGAGAGAAGCTATCAAAGCTTGGTTCTCTCCAAAGTTCCAACACAAAATATTCCCTCTTTTATACAACCCTGTCCTGGCCGCCATATCCCTCCTCGTTCCCCATTGGCTGAGGTAGTGTGAGGTTACGCTCTTCCCGACCGTCTCCTACATATTTCCTGCTAACATATTAAATCATATATAACATGTACGTTAAAATTAGAGGGGAATTATGCAAGGTGTGTCAAATAATATTAATCCACTAAGTAGGCATGCTTTGTTACCTGTTTTGAGTTCTGGGGATATTTTACAGCTCCTTAGAACAATAGTTTCTTTCCTGTTTTTCAGTTCAGCTAGTTTTCCTGTTATCCAATTCAGTTTTATCTTTCAGCTAAAGCTTCCTCTTGAAGCTACTTCCTCTTATAGCTAATTCCCCTTACTATTTTAAATTTTGAAGGCCTTTCATTTACTTTTAACAGCAGCAGGATATATAAATATAAACCCCAGGGGGAAAAAAACTATGCTGACGACATAATTCCTATCTCGGGGAAATAGCCCTCCACCTATCCAGCAAAGGAGGGCGATTCATGCTTAATCACAAGGATTTGAGCAAGAATGTCGGTAACTCTGAGATAAAATAGCAACAGCTGTGTTTGGGCGGGGCAAAGGGTGTGGGTGTGGCTGAAGCAGAAAGTGGGTGTGGCCAAACAAGATTGCCATGTTTCAATCTTGCGCCATTTTGTCCAGAAACTTTGCTGGCATTTTAAATGGACCTTCTCCAATGCTATTTATTTCTTTATTGATTTGATTTTTCCCCGCCACCTCATCTCAGATCAGTGACATTTTTTCCCCCTGCTTTAGATCCGGAAACGGTCAATTTCGTTCACTTGGAACCTGCTCAGGCCAGAACATAATTACAGGTGGTCCTCGCTTTACAACAGTTCATTTAATGACTGGAAAAAAGTGACTTGTGACTGTTTTTCACATTGATGACCCTTGCAGCATCCCTGTGGTTCACATGATCAAAATTCGGATGCTTGGCGTCGCAGCGTCCCGGGACAGTTGCAGCGTCCCGGGATCACACGGTCTGTTTTCGCAACATTCTGACAAGCAAAGTCAGTGAGGGAAGCCAGATTCACAGATTCACAACTGTGGCAAGGAAGTAATAATAACAATAATAATAATAAAGTTGGAAGGGACCTTGGAGGTCATCTAGTCCAACCCCCTGCTCAGGCAGGAAACCCTATACCATTTCGGACAAATGGCTGTCCAGTCTCTTCTTAAAGACTTCCAGTGTTGGAGCATTCACTGCTTCTGGAGGCAGGTTGTTCCACTGGTTAATTGTTCTCACTGTCAGGAAGTTTCTCCTTAGTTCCAGGTTGCTTCTCTCCTTGATTAGTTAAGTAAAATGGGGCAAAGCTCCCTTAACAAATGTCTCGCTTAGCAATGGAAATGTTGGGCTCCCTTGTGGTCGTAAGTAGAGAACTGCCTGTATTTTAGACCAGGGGTCCCCAACCTGTGGGCCGCGGACCACTACTGGGCCGTGGCCACTTGGCCACCCCCCCCACACTCGCGCTAGCACCACCCATAGGATCCCGCCAGCGCTAGTGCCGCCCATTTGCAGCCCTCACGCCCACGCAGCCCCGTTTGCACATGCGCATGTGCTCACGTGTGACCCATTTTGTGCACGTGCACCTGGGGCTCATTTTTGCGTGCGCAGGCATGTGACCCATTTGTGCGTGTGCACGTAGCGGTGCCTGCCTCCCTTTCCGGGCCGCCAAACCAAAAAGGTTGGAGACTCTGTAGACAGAAGGGGGAAAAAAGAGGAAAATAGATACAGAGATACGGGAAGGACTCGGATGCCTTAAATCAGGGGTGTCAAACTCAATTTCATTGAGGGCCGCATCAGCATTGCGGTTGCCCTCAGGGGGGGGGGATGTGTGGCCAAGGTAGGTGTGGCCTACTGGTGGGCGTGGATGGAGTGGGTGTGGCCTACTGGGTGGGCATGGCCAGCTCTACATCGTTCATGTCAAGGGTGCCTGTGGGGGTCTGGGCAGGAGTGGGACAGATCTGAGGGTCTCTGGCAGAAGGAGATGGGACCGGGGCAAGCACCAAGGCATGGTCCATTTCTTCATTCCTCACAAAGGGTGACACCTCCCCAGCATGCACCCAGGGGACGGGGCCGACGCAGCAGGGGCTGGTCCCTCGCTGTTTCTAGACGGCCCTGTGGAGCTAAGACTGAGTGCGTTTCAGCGTAGATAGCCACCACAAAATTGTACATTGGCTCCCGGCCGGCCTGGGCCAGGGCCAAGGCAGAGGGGGCCGTTCCCTCACTGTTTCCAGGATGGCTTCGCAGGCCACATGAAACCACTTTGCGGGCCACATCCGGCCCCCGGGCCTTGTGTTTGACATGTCTGCCTTAAATCCTTCAGAGGGACAAATCTAGCCTTTTAGCCCCTCGGCTGCCATTTTAATATTTTGAGGTCCCTTACAGCATGTGAAAATTGGGGATGTCCCTTTGAGTGTGCGGCGTTTATACAGCCCTACACGGGCAGTCCTCGGCTTACCACCACAACTGAGTCCAAAACTTCTGATATTAAGTGAGACATTTGTTAAGCGGGTTTTGCCCCGTTTTTACGACTTCCCTTGCCAGGGTCGTTAAGCGAATCACTGCAGTTGATAAGTCAGTGACACAGCTGTGAAGTGAATCTGGCTTTCCCCCCCCCATTGACTTCGCTTGTCAGACGGTCGTAAAAGGGGGTCACGTCACCCCAAGATGCTGCGACCGTCATAAATAGGAGTCAGTTGTCAAGCGTCCGAATTTTAATCATGCTGTAAAGGTCGTCACTCTGAAAAACGGTCATAAGTCACGTTTTTCAGTGCCGTTGTAACTTTGAGCGTCGCTATATGAACTGTTGTAAGTCAGGCCTGTAGAGATCTACCTGGAATGTGGATAAAGGCCGTTGGGCGGTGCAAATTTCATATATTTTTTTTAAAAAAAAAGAGGGAAGGGAAATAGCAAACGTGTTTAAAACGCAGAGTCGAAAGCGCGCAGTGTAATCCCACACCACAAAAAAACAAAAAACAAAACCCAAAGAGTAAGATAATTGTAGTTTTTAATGATCGTTTCAGGCTAAGTTCTCTGTGCTGAAAATAAGAAAAAACAAACTTTTTTTTTAATTTTTTTTTTTGAAAAAGGAAAGGGGGGAGGGGAAAAAAAGAAGCAAACGAAGGCAGGTAATAAATAAGTTAATAAATAAATAAATAGACGGAGGGCTTGTCTTCTTCCGGTGCCCACAGATTGGAAAAAATAAATCTTCGGAAATTTACACGCCGCGCGGGAAAAAGGAGCTGCTTTTAGTGTCTTCTGAATCCTGAAAGCAAAGAAACGGGGAAAAAAATGGATTAAGAGGGGGAAAAAATCTCATTTGGAGAACTGTTTATGCTGAGGGTCACCGCGTCAATTTGGGGTCCCAAGAAGTGGGACCCTTTGCTTGAGGCCAGGGGCCAAATGCGGGAAACCCTCAACTTACAACTGCAATTGAGCCCAAAATTTATGTTTACTAAGCGAGACATTTGTTCAGTGAATTTTGCCCCGTTTTTACGATCTTTCTGGCCACCGTTGCTAAGCGAATCACTGCAGTGGTTAAGTTAGTAACCCCGTCGTTCAGTGAATCCGGCTTCCCCCCATTGACTTTGCTTGTCGGAAGGTTGCGAAAGGAGGTCACGGACCCTGGGACGCTGCGACCGTCATAAATATGAGTCAGTTGCCGAGCATCTGAATTTTGATCACGTGACCCTTGGGATGCTGTGACTGTTGTAAGTGTGTAAAACGGTCCTAAGTCCCTTTTTTCAGTGGTGTTGCAACTTTCTACATCACTAAATGAACTGTTGTAAGTTGAGGATTACATGCAAATGTTTGTGGTAGATGAAACGATGGGGAGTGTTGTAGTTAACTATTTCAAGTTTACACCTATATTGCCCCCGTTTCCTTCAGTATTTTCTTTTCTCAGAAATGTGAAAGTAGAGTAGAGTAGAGTAGAGTAGAGCAGAGCAGAGCAGAGCAGAGCAGAGCAGAGCAGAGCAGAGTAGAGTAGAGTAGAGTAGAGTAGGAATAGAATAGAATAGAATAGAATAGAATAGAATAGAATAGAATAGAATACGGAATGGAATGGAATGGAATGGAATGGAATGGAATGGAATAGAATAGAATAGAATAGAATAGAATAGAATAGAATAGAATAGAGTACGGAATGGAATGGAATGGAATGGAATGGAATGGAATAGAATAGAATAGAATAGAATAGAATAGAATAGAATAGAATAGAATAGAATAGAATAGAATAGAATAGAGTACGGAATGGAATGGAATGGAATGGAATGGAATGGAATGGAATAGAATAGAATAGAATAGAATAGAATAGAATAGAATAGAATAGAGTATGGAATGGAATGGAATGGAATGGAATGGAATGGAATGGAATGGAACGGAACGGAACGGAACGGAATGGAATAGGAAATAGAATAGAATAGGAAATAGAATGGAATGGAATGGAATGGAATGGAACGCAATGGAACAGAACAGAACAATAGAATAACAGAGTTGGAAGGGACCTTGTAGGTCATCTAGTCCAACCCCCTGCCCAAGCAGGAGATCCTACCCCATTTCTGACAGAGGGCAGTCCACTCTCTTCTTGAAAGCTTCCAGCGTGGGGTGTGTGGGATTCCGCCGAATGGGCTTAATAATAGATGAGAAAATAGCTATCGACTCACCTTTGCATCCCATCCCACTGACGGATCCGATCCGGTCCAACCTTCGGCCGAAGCAGCCCGATTCTCTCAGGCTTTTGGCCGCCTGAATTCCTCGCATGTGTTTCAGCAGAGCCGTCCGGTCGGAGAAGACGGGGAAATCGTCGGCCGCAGACCGATCGTTCAGGTCATCTTCGGCCTGGATCTCAAAGTCTTCAGGATTGCCCTGTAAGTCCTCCATCAAGGCCACTTTCTCCTCCAACGTCTCCAGGAGAGCCTGCGGGGTGGGAATCGAGAAGGTTTGTGTCAGTTGCAGAATGAGGCGGTCAAGTATATTGCAAAAAAAGGGGGGGCATTGTCTTCCTAGATCAGGGGTCCTCCACCTTGGCCACTTTAAGACTGGTGGACTTCAATTCCCAGCTGGCTGAGGAATTCTGGGAATTGAAGTCCACCAGTCTTAAAGTGGCCAAGGTGGAGGACCCCTGTCCTAGACAACTGATGGAGCCTTAAATTTTATTCCCACTGGATACTAGCATCCACATTTTTCTATCCTGCTAAAGATGCTTTTTTTTCCCCAAGAGGCAACTGGACTTACTTTTTTCTCACTTTTTCTCACCCAAAAAGCTTCTTCAGCTCTGACTGGAGGGTGGGGAATGGAAGGACCATCCGGTCAGAGCTAAAGAAGCTTCTTGGATGAGAAGCGAAACGTCTTCCAAGAAAAACAAGAAAGTCTTGTTGCACAGGTGAAAAAAGCACCTTTGGGACAATCCTCCCCTGGATGGCTGAGAATCTCCATCGACACCTGTTAAAAGGTAATTCCAGCTTCGTAAGAGAGGGCCGGTCGGTAGCTCAAAACTCAAAAGTGCACAAAGCAAACTAGAGAAAAATAGAAATGAAACTGGCACTTCTTGGGGCATAGTTGACTGGCCCCAGATGTTGGCTCCCCCCCATCTGAAGGAATAAAAAGAAAACACCTCTTTTTTTCTCAGTTTTGGATCCTTAACTGATGAGGCTGTCTTAAAATAATTTCAAAATGAGGCTCCCAGGCTGTCTTAAAATAATTTCAAGGAAGGCGAATCTGTCTACCTTTCTGGAGTTTCTCCCAATGTTTTTGCAAAACTTCCTTTCTTTACATTGGTGCAGGTCCTGCTTTCTGGAGCCACTGAGAGCAACATCGCTCCTTCCTTTAGAATAACAGATTTGGAAGGGACCTTGGAGGTCTTCTAGTCCAGCCCGCTGCTCAAGCAGCAGAGCCTAGATAGACCATTTCAGATAGATGGTTGTCCAATCTCTTATCTCTGGCTAAACGCACCAGCTTTTTCTGCCGAACGTGCACAGGCTTTGCCATCGTCTACCCGCTTCCAATGGAGTCAGCCAATCTGTGACCTGGGTGTGACTTGAACTGTTCTCCTCTAGGGTAGACTGCTCCTGAACCTGGGTTCCCCCACGAGTAATAGCTCCTGAAAGAATTCTCTCTCTAAGAGGCTTGTGGCTATTACGAGGCAGACGAGCTGGAAGGGACCTCAGAGGTCTTCTAGCCCAGCCCTCTGCTCAAGCAGGAGACCTTATGCCATTTCGGACAAAGTGTTTCAGAGGTGCTTTTTTTTCCAGGAGGCAATTGGACTTTTTTGTTTTCCTTTGAAGACGTTTCGCTTCTCATCCAAGAAGCTTCTTCAGCTCTGACCGGATGGTGGGGAATGGAAGGATTTATACTCCTTGCAGACAGCTGGTCATAGAAGTGTAAATCCTTCCATTCCCCACCATCCGGTCAGAGCTGAAGAAGCTTCTTGGAGGAGAAGCGAAACGTCTTCAAAGAAAAAACAAGAGAGTCCAGTTGCCTTGTGGAAAAAAAGCATCTTTGGGACAACCTCGACCCGGATGACTGAGAATCTCCATAGACATTCAGACGAAATTTTCAGGCAGAATTTCTGCCAGTGCCTATTGGATAAACCTCAAGTCCAGATGGATCCCAAGGACCGCGTTCTCTTACCTCCATGTTGGCGAGCTCCTCGGCCGGGCTGAGGCCATGGATGGGGTGAGCCGCCGGACGCTGGAAGCAGAGGAAAAACACCAAGGAGACAACGGTGAGGAGCGAGCCCTTAGCATCCATTCTCGGAGATCAGAGTCGGCTGTTTTCAGAGGTGGCTTCCTGGTCTTCTCCCTCAGATCTGGTGCTCTCCTTTCTCCCGCGAGGTCTTATATACCCTTCGGAAGGCAGCTCCACTTTCCTGGGTTATCTGGAGCGCATTCCAGCGCTGTCGCTGGCATGCTGCATTTTCCAAGAGAAGATTCCCTTTATTAGGTGTCACGGGGCAGCGGCTGTTTTCAGAGGCATGCGAGTCACAAGTCAATGATTTCATGTTGCCGGACCTCAGCATCGAATACCACGAGCCGAGATTACACACCATCCCTGGCTGGGCATTCTTCAGATTTTCTCCCCTTTTCAGGTCGATGGCCTTTGCGGGAAGACGGTCTTTCATTTTTCCCAAGCGGGGCAAACGGCGTCCCAGAGAAACTGCCTTGTATAGAAAAGGCACAAAGGAAGGCAGACATTTTGGTGTCTAACATAAACATCATTTATTGCTACCCTATATGGCCTACGGAGAGCACTTTCTGCCCCCCAAATATTGGGGCTTTTTTTTCTCTCTGCGAGTTTTGATTTTGATAGTTGTCAAGTTGTTTGTTCCTCCAACACAAGTTGTAGGCACAAAGCACGCAGCCCACCGAACCTGAAGCGAGCCATTTTGTGATCCGTTGAACCATGAAAACTACAAAGCAAGATTAGTTAGTTGTTCACACACAGACGTGTACAAACTAGGAACCCAGCTGCTTCCGAACGCTTGAGGGAAATTGCTTCTCTTTGCAGGTAGAGTGCTTCTGAAGATGGAGGATCTGATCTTGATAGCATGTGTGTGCTTGTGAATTGTGTATAAAAAGCCTGCAAGGTATTGTGGGGGGGGGGGGGAAATAAGATTTGTTTTCCTTCTTCTTCCAGTGATTGAATTTGTACATGCTCAGCCATCACATGCTATCTTTCTTTCTGTGCCGAACTCAAGTGTGAGAATGTGGCCCCTGTGGTTTTTGTCTCAACTGAACGGCTGAGAATCTCCAAGAAATCAAACGTAGGAAATAATCCCAGCTCAGTGAATGAATCCACCCAGTACAGAAATCCTTGCCACCTGATGGGTGTTGACGCCCACCCAGACTGAGGTTCTTAGGATCAATACCAGCAACTGGGAAACGTGTCCGGGAGAACAATTCATTTACCACTCTAGGTGTGTTTAATGGAAGATGAAAATGGTGTTGTTCCCAATTTTCTGCTATCGTAAGCCGCTGCGCGAGGGGATGGCCTTCCGCGCTCAAAGGCAGTCAACCGCTAAATGTCAGTGTCGGAGGGACTAAGCAAGGGAACTGGAAAAGAGCAAAGAAAACCTTGCAGTAGCTCATTAATTTCTACCAACGGGCTTCCGGGGTCGAGGTCAGCTTTGACCTTGAGGGAGAAAAGGCCTAGTGGCCTTGGAGGTCAAGGGGGAAAAAAATCCGGTCGGAGCTGGACAGAGAAGGAAACCCAAGGAGTGTGTGTGTGTGTATGAGTTGCTGTCCACAGTGCTGAACCCACTCATCTATATATCACTGCCTTGCAACTCGCTCAGAGCCTAGCAAGCATCACCCAGACCTGTTGAGGTGCACAAGGAGATGTGAGAACTTGGTCGTTCTGTGCCCTCCAGATTGGCCACATCTAGTTGGAACTCACCAATGGACGTCTGGACACTTCCCTTTTTGTAAGGCAGTTGCTTTCCAGGACTCTTCCCCTCCCCTCCGTCAGACAAAAACCCAAGACTCCGTTTCTACAAAACATTTATTGACGCTCGTGACAATCAGATTTGGCCCCCGCGATAGGGGCAAAAAGGGTCTCCAGGACTGGAGGGACAACCGTTGAATATTGATAGCCTGAATGTCGAATTGAGGAACTCGTACTGAATATTAAAGGGTTTTCTACAATATTTAGACAGCGTGGAAAACGGAGCGCATCTTTTCGCAGGGGATGGAAAGGAGGTGATGTTTCTTTCCAGGTGTTGAACAGTTCGTATCGAGGACCTTGCTATCCGTTTACTTCTGGAGGAAGACATTGTTGAAGAAGTTGTGAAGTTCAGCTTCTCCGTCTCCTCCAGGGACCTGAAACAGAAAGTTAAAAAAGGAATGGGTGAAGGGGTTCCATCTTTCCCGAAGATGGCAAAAATCCACATTTTTAGATTCCCCAAATCCCGTTTCTGCTTATGAGAAGCCATCCCAGAATACAGAAAAGAATAGATAAGGGATGCAGAATCCTTACAGGCTGAAGGGCCCTTTGGGTGAGCAGTTTAACATGGAAGCGAACGAAGCTGAGTGATATGGTAACACTCCCACCTTGGAAAGCAGAAGCAGAATTCAACAGGTAGAGCTGAGGCCTTGAAGAACATCTAGTCTACCTTTGTAGAATCCAACAGGTAGAGCTGAGGCCTTGAAGAACATCTAGTCTACCTTTGTAGAATTCAACAGGTAGAGCTGAGGCCTTGAAGAACATCTAGTCTACCTTTGTAGAATTCAACAGGTAGAGCTGAGGCCTTGAAGAACATCTAGTCTACCTTTGTAAGAACCTCATGCAGAACTTGTCGTTCCCCTGTTAAGTTTCTCCTACGGTGACTTTCCACCAGAATTGTCCCTTCCTGCAACTTATAACTCAACTGGAAATTGAATTTTGGAACCCAAATTCTTATTTGTCCCTTTCTGGATTCTAGAAGAGTTGTGGATTCTGTCACCCTTCTCCTGCTTTGGGGAGGAGAAAAAAAAAACCACACGTAGCATGCATTATTATGCCTCAGATGTTTTAATTCTCGCTTTTTGAACCTGGAGTGGTTTCCCTGACGGTTATTTCTTTCTTTGGATTCATTTTGCAAAACTGGCGAAGGAATACACAAGCAACTGAGTTTTCCTGGAGAGACTAGACCATTTTCATCCCAGTTTTAAGATTTAGAAAATCTTAATTTAGAAAAGGGTCACGGGGAGCAGAGGGCGCTCCACCCCGCTGGGGGCAGATATTAGACACAAAGGCAGTTGTTGGAACGTTTTCTCCCCTGGTGTGGTTGGTTCAGAGTGGTTCTTTTGTGTGTGGCCTGTGTGTGTGGGGTGTTTGAACAGCCCTACATTGTGAAACTCTTAAAAGGGACCTACGGGGTTTGTAGGGCTTGCAGCCGAGTCCCGTCTGGGTCCCGATCCGATCGAGCCTGATTCCGAAACATCCGGAGAAGTGTCTCCTGGAGGCCACCAGGAATTTCCTCCACTGTGCCTGAGAGAGGGAATCCTGAAGTTTGGGCAGGTGGGAAGGGATCATCTCGGCGCCTTCGAGGTCAGGATAATCGCCATCTTCATTTGCACCGCCGGTTTCGTAGTCGGAAGGTTCCAGATCCTCCTCCTGCTGGATTTTTTCTCGCAGCCGATCCAGGAGGTGCTAAAAATGGGAGAGGGCGGGAAAAAAAAACGGGAACATTCTTAAAACAGAAATCTCTTTCTCTCTCTCTGGATTTATCCCTGCACCATCAAAGCCCTGTGGAAAGCCTCGTTTTGTTGCTGAGCTGTTTCCTACTTATAGTAATTGAATGAGATTCTAGTCCTCATGGTTCTAGGTTTGTTTACAAGAAGGTGGCAGAAGACTGCCTTATACATATAATAATAATAATAATAATAATAATAATAATAATAATAATAATAATAATAATAATAATAATAATAATAATAATAATAGTAAAGTTGGAAGGGACCTTGGAGGACATCTAGTCCAACCCCCTGCTCAGGCAGGAAACCCTATACCATTTCAGATCAAGGGCTCTCCAGTCTCTTCTTAAAAACCTTAAACCATCTACATCACGGTTGGCAGATGCTCTGCTTCAAGATTGGGAGATCTCGTGAGATCCACCCGGATTTTCAGCAAACTGGAGATCTCCGATCAGCAAATGCCTCTATTTTATTTGCGTATTGATTTGTATTTCCTGTTGCTTAACCGCCCATCTCTCTCGGAGGTGTCTCGCACCCTCAACTCCACGCTGTCCCCCAGGCAGAGAAGCCCTCCCTACCTCTTACCTGCAGAGCCTGCAGATCTTGGCCAGAGGGACTCCACGTCACTGGATGAGCCCAGCCCGGCCCGGCCGGCAGAAACCCCATGAGCAAAGTGAAGGAACAAGTCAGAACTAGGCGGCCCATCTTGTTGGCTGTGTCCCAAGGCCTCGGTGGTGTTTGTGGGACGGCAAAGGAAGGAAGGCGCTTGGTTTTATAAGGCCCTGGCAAGGAGCGTTCTCTCTGCTTCAAGCCGGCTGGGCTCCGGTGACAAAGGGCACCGATCTTGATAAGGAAACTGGTTCTAACTAGCCCGGCGAGCGGCCGAGAGTTTAGGCAAAGCTGCCTTTGCTACTCACCCCCTCCTCATCCAGGGAAAGCAATTACACTGATGTTGTTGAGCGGCCAGCACACGGCTGCCATTAAATCTTGCAGCCCGGGGCCAGGAGATGTGCCTCAGCTTCCCCTGTCCTGGCGGGCCTCAGACACACACACACACACACACACACACACACACACACACACACACACACACACACAGAGAGAGAGAGAGAGAGAGAGAGAGACCTTCTCCATGAAGGGAGTTGTGTGTGCTTGGATCTATCACATTGGCCTGCTGGGTGCTTGGACGTTCCTTGTCCAGTTTGTGCTCATGACAGGCCGCAGGAAGAAGATGCACTGAAACAAACTAGAATAGAATAGGATATATAATAGAATAGAATATAGAATACAGAATAGAATAGAATAGAATAGAATAGAATAGAATAGAATAGAATAGAATAGAATAGAATAGAATAGAATATAGAATAGAATAGAATAGAATAGAATAGAATAGAATAGAATAGAATAGAATATAGAATAGAATAGAATAGAATAGAATATAGAATAGAATATAGAATAGAATAGAATAGAATAGAATAGAATAGAATAGAATAGAATAGAATAGAATAGAATATCTTTATTGTCATTATGTAACTCACAACGAAATTAAGTGAGAAATTAAGTACAGGAGGGACGATT